CTTTAGCTGCCGAACAAGGATGGGTAGATGGACAGTTGAATTTGGGCTATCTACATTTCAGTAAGTCATTTACTAATTGCCAACAATTTAGCTTACCGTTGTCGTTAATATTAAGTCATTTAATGACTTTTCATTGTTTATGAAATCATTAGCTGACTGCCAGTTAAAGTAGCATTAGTTAAAACAGAGTTGTCGGCCTCCTGAAGGAGCAGATTATGAAAAATATCACGAATAAGAATTTAATCGTATCAGATTTTGAATTGTTAGCCGTTCTTTTGTTTTTTTTACTTCTGCTAATTCCATTTATATTTTATCATATTTATTAATTATCTGTTTGCACCAGCTTTTAAAAAATCGATCGCCGAAGAGGTATCTCTGTGTTGTCCAGCTCCCGAGATTTTGTCCTCTGCTATCAGGAGAATTTTGTGTATTTCCCGTCTAATTTGTTCCCCAATTCAATTTGCTGAACTTTCAAATCAGTTACACTTTATTGACATTGTCAACATATTCGCACAGATTCCGGCGCTCCTGCAATCCACTCATAGACCGGCACAGCTATGGCACTTGTTTCCTTATGATAGCTGCAGCCTTTATGCGTACTTCATTATCTTTGGGAATGAACCGTGTGCTTCGTGCGTGTTTCTTTAATATACTAAGAAAAAAGCATTTGAAAGAGCTAACAAAAATTCATTTTCGTTAAATACGTTGCTGTGTTGATAGGGGGACTTGGCGTGAAACGAGATTTCAAGTTGGCAATAAAATATTTTCAACTGGCATCGCAATCTGGCCATGTCAATGCATATTACAACTTGGCACAGATCCATGCAACAGGTTTGTTTCAATTGTTGCGACCGACTAGTTCACTTGAATGTATTGCCCGTCTTCCTGCTGCGATTCAGAAAAGATGCGCAAATTTGAAGGTTATTCAGGCACTGGTGTACCCCGAAACTGTCATACAGCCGTTGAACTGTATAAGAATGTAGCGGAACGTGGACGCTGGTCCGAACGCCTTATGGAAGCTTATGTTAGTTATCGAGGTGGACGAGTCGATGAAGCTCTCTTCAAGTATCTTTTCCTGGCCGAATTAGGATACGAGCCAGCCCAAACCAACTTTGCTTATATCATTGATCGTGGTAAGTTTTGTTTCAGATTTCATTCCTCATACAAGTTTACTAATATTTGGTGCCCCAATTTGTGTGAAAGGAGGTTTGAAAATCGCGTTTTGACCCAAGGTTGGCGGCAAACAGTGAGGAAAGATAATGGGATAGTGACGAAAATACAAACATTTCGGATTCTTCTATTTGCTGTTTCATTTTTATGCGTTTTGTACTGTGTAACAGCATCACAAAACGCATATTGTCACGGGGTTGTCTGTGTGTGTGTGTTTGTGTGTGTCCCACATTTTGTCCC